CCGCCAACCCTCTCCACTTTGTCCTCTGCTCCCAGAGGCAGATGTGGCAGATGCTAGCAGTCCCCACCCTGAGGATCCCTCACATCCAGGCTCTCCCTGGAAGAAGAAGCTGAGGAGTAAGGATGAGAAAGAAGAGAAGAAAAAGAAGGTGTTTGAGTGAGTGGGGCTGGGCTCTTGGGCCCTGGGGACAGGAAGGGAGTTAGGTTAGTGAGGCAGGCAGGACCTTTGGTGGCTCCTGAAAGGGAAAGGAGAAGGGATGGAAGGGGTGTTGAGAGCCAGGTGGGGAATCAACCTCCTGGTTGAAGAGGAGACGCCCCCCCAGAGCCTTTCAGCCATGGAAGTGGAGTCTGAGGTGGGGTAATGCAGGGGGAGCGTGTGGTCACATTCTACCAGGTGCCTGTCTGCCGTCTTCTCTGCTTCTCTGTCCTCGTCTGTTAAGAGGGAAAGTCGTGATACCTGTGTGAGAGTTGTCGAGTAGAGGAAGAGTAGTCAATGCCTATATCTGTTATAGATTATTGGACATTAACTTGGGAAGTGACTTATCTTCAAGTGAGACATTTTCTTCCTTTCATATTTGGGTCTTGTAAATATAAAATTGATGTCTTGTTCCCTGTCCCTTACCTACCCCTGTCTTCCAGTAAAATAGAAGTTACTAGAAAGTGCTTTCTTTTGATTCTCCAGCTCCCCTCAGGKTCTTGGGGATCCACAGCCCAGGAAGAGAAGTGGGGGCTGGAGTCTCTCCTTTGCCTCATCCTGTCCCTCTCTTCTTTCTACAGGGCTCGGGACACCTCTCCTCTGCCCGCACCTCCACCAAGGACAAAAAGCAGAAAGCATACTCGGGCACTCCAGAAACTGAGGTGTCAGGGGCATGGGGCTCTGGATGGGGTGAAGGAGGACAGTTTGGGAGGGTGGCTGACCTCAGCTGACCAGAGTCCTGTTGCACCCAGGGAAGTGAACAAGCGCCTCCAAGATCTCCGATCTTCTCTGAGCCCCAAGCAGCACCAGGGCCAAGGCTGCCAGAGCCAAGACGACGAGGTGGTCATAGTGGAGGGGCCCATGCTTCCGGAGAATCCCCGGCTCTTCCCACTCAAAATCCGGTGCCGGGCTGACCTGATCAGATTGCCCATCAGAATGGTAAGTGCCTGAGGGCCAAGAGCTGCTTTGAGGAGATGATGCCTGCAGGCGGGTTCTGGCAGCAGGGACTGCGCCTTCCTCTTCCCATCCTGCTCTGCAGAGGTGCCTTCTACTCTCCCCTGCGTGTCTGGGATCCTCTCTCTGTAGCTTTTCCTTACTCTCCCTCTGGCGAACTTCCTGCCCATTTCTCAAGGCTCCACGGAAGCCTCATATCTTCTTTTTTTATTTTTTATTTGTTTTAATTAGTTACACATGACAGTACAATGATCTTGCCGCGTCATCTCTCCTACAAAGTGTTTTCTCCTCGTCCATCTTGCTTTTTCCTCCCCAGGGCTCTGTGCTCCTCTGTGCTTGTTCTCACTGCACTGGGCACAGCAGATGTCACTCGGTCATCCTGAGCCCCTCCAGCTTCCTGGAAAAGGCAGATAGTTGGGTGGGGATGGCCCCAGTTCAACACTAAGAATGAGGGCAGAACCGAGCACTCGCTGAGTGCCCCCGGGCGTGGCTCGGAGCAGCCAGGCCAGGCTGCAGCAGGCAGCCCAGGACCCCGTCAGAACGCAGCCTCTGCTCTCTTTGCTCTGTGGGGTTTAAAGATCTGTGAGGGGTGGRAGTGTCAGTGTAGGGTGCTTGCCTTGCACCTGCAATCCCTGGGTTTGGTCCCCAGTACCACAAAAGAAAAAAAAAAGTTTGTTGCCAACCTTTGGGTTACTACAGGTAATTTCAGGGAAAAGTCCAGATTTCTGGCTTCTTTTAAAAATAGGTATGTTGGGCTTGGTGGCAAACATCTGTGATGCCATAATCCCAGAATTAGGAAGGCTGAGGCAGGAGGATTGTGAGTTCAAAGCCAGCCTCAGCAATTTAGCAAGGCGCTAAGTAACTCAGTGAGACCCTGTCTCTAAATTAAACATAAAAAGGGTCTGGGGATGTGGCTCAGTGGTTACGCACCCCTGGGTTCAATCACCAGTACTAAAAAAAAAAGGAAGGTGTAATCAACTGTCCCTCTTCTACCCAGTGACAGTCAGCTGAAATGGCCATTTTGAGGGGACATGCCCTTCCCTGTTGTAATCCCCGCTGTTCCCTTTTTTCTCCCCTGCCATGGCTGCTTCATTTCTTTGGGCTGCTCACGTGAACCTCTTTCTGACATGACCTTGTTCTGTACTTGCCAGGTAAATATGGTGAGACTCACGGCTGAGGAGTTCAGCAAGTAGCTCAGGCCAGAAACTTGTGGTGGGGGCGGTGGGCGTAGGGTGGGGGCGGGGCGGGGAACTGGAAGGTGGGAAGGGCTCCTTTGCTTCTTTTTCCCCTTCTTAGTCGGAGCCCCTTCAGAGTGTGGTGGACCACATGGCCACCCGTCTCAGGGTGTCCCCAAGCAGGATCCTTTTGCTCTTTGGAGAGACAGAACTGTCCCCTACGGCCACCCCCAGGACTCTAAAGCTTGGAGTGGCTGACATCATTGGTGAGTGGAAGGAGGTGGGGCCTTAGGGAGGCTCTTTATTTTATGCAGTACTAGGGGTTGAGCCCTGGGTGCTCTGCCACTGAGCCGCGTCCTCAGAAAGCTRCATGAGACCAGAGCCTTGTGTTTGGGGCGGTGAGGATAGGGTGGGGGTAGAGCGGGGAATGTGAACACAGAAAGGGCTCTTTGGGCTTCGTGTCCCCCTTCTTAGTTTTATTTTTTAAATTTTGAGACAGGGTCTCCCTGAGTTGCTAAGGCTGGCCTCCTACTTGCAATCCTCTTGCCCTAGCCTCCTGGGCGCTGGGATCTAATGCACGTACCGCCACACCTGGCTTGAGGAAATTTTGCCATGGGAGGGGAGAATGGGGACAGGTCCAGAGCGGGTTGCACTTCCAACCCCCCACTTAGGCCTGGCTTCCTGATTCTGCCTCCCACAGACTGTGTGGTGCTAGCAAGTTCTTCAGAGGCCACAGAGACATCCCAGCAGCTCCGTCTCAGGGTGCAGGGGAAAGAGAARCACCAGATGCTGGAGATCTCGTTGTCTCAGGTGAGTGGGAAAGAAATGGCTGTCCACACCCTCCCCTGCCTTTGCTGTCTGTCAGTTGGCAGGAATGGACTCCTCCTAACCCTGACTCACTGAGGACACTACCCTCCATATTGGGCACACGCCTGGCCTAGGAGGTGGGGAAAGCCCAGGTTCAACTTCCCTCCCTCTTTGCTGGGAACCTCTGTTCTAGTCTGTATGTCCCCTCAGTCTCCTGACTCCTTCCAGTCAAAACAGAAATGATCTTTGGACAGTGACCAATAAAAAACAACACAACAGAAAAATAATTAAAGCCACTTTTTTTTGGTGGTACCGRGGGATGGAACCCAGGCCCTGAGGGCATTAAGCAGATACTCTACCACTTGTAAGTGCCAGCGTCTGTGCTGGGGATGATTGCTGTCTGCTCAGGTATTATATCACTACAGTGTGACCTGGAAAGCCTTACCTGGGAAAGTCCTGTTGTGGACTTCACTTGACAAATAAGAAACTCAGAACTGGGGGTGGAGGAACTTGCTGTATCAGTTCTTATGGCAGCTGTTACAAGATACAGGTAGTCCCCGCTGATCTGGGGTATACGTTCTTAGGTTTCAGTTACCCATRGAACTGTGCTCTGAAAATATTAAGTGGAAATGTCCAGAAATAAACAATTCATGGGCTTTAGATTGTGTACAGTTCTGAATAGTGAAATAAAATCATGCACCGTCCTTTGTCATCCCACTCTATCCTGCTGGATGGACCTTCTCCACTGAACCCTACTGTATACACTACCTGCTGCTTAGTAGCTACTTGGGCTATCAGAATTACTGCTGTGATATTACAACGCTTGTGTTCAAATAATCCTTATTTTACTTAATAATGGCCCCCAAATAAGAGTTGTGATGCTGGCAATTTGGATATGCCAAAGAAAATCTGTAAGGGGCATCCTTTATAAAGTGAAAAGATATAAGTAAATAAAATAAAGGCATTGTGTCCATCTACAACTAAATATACACACACACATACACACATATATAAATATATAGTTGGGCACAATGGTACACGCCTGGGTTATCAGACTCAAAAAGAAACTTAACTCAAAAAGAAACTATGCACAGGTGTCTGAGCAAATGAACAGAAGATATATATGTATATCCCCAGCCCTATTTTGTATTTTATTTATAGACTGGGTCTCAATGAGTTGATTTAATGCCTCGCTTTTGCTGAGGCTGGTTTGAACTCTTTATCCTCCTACCTCACCTCCTGAGCCACTGGTATTAGGCGTGCGCCATTGCGCCCAACTATATATTTATATATATATATGTATGTATGTGTGTGTGTATGTATGTATGTGTGGGTGTATGTATGTGTGTGTATGTATGTGTGTGTATATATGTATGTGTGTGTATGTATATACATATATATACATACACACACATACATACACACACATACAGATTGGGTGCATATATATGTGTGTGTGTATGTGTGTATATATATATATATATATATGTTGTAGATGGACACGATGCCTTTATTTTATTTATTTTTATGTGGTGCTGAGGATCGAATCCAGTGCCTCACATGTGCTAGGCAAGCGCTCCACCCCTGAGCCAGAACCCCGGCCCTACAGAAGGTATCTTGAGACAGACCACAGTCGTATAACTTGTATTACAATGTACAGTATATTGTTAAAATTGTTCTAATTTTATCATTGTTGATTTCTTCCTATGCCTGATTTATAAGGAAACCTTATGAGAGTGTATGCATAGGGTCTGGTACCATCCATGGTTTTCAGCATCCATGGGGGGTCTTGGCTCATCTTCCCCCTGAAGAATGGAGCACTACAGTACCAGAACCCAGTAGCTTAACTCAATAGAAACCTTCTTTTACACTTGGGAAGACTGGAAGTCTGAAATCAGAGGTCAGCTGGATGCGGTGAGCCCTTCCTTGCCTCCTTCTGGCTCTGGTGGTGGCCAGAGTTCCCGGCTGCAGCTGCCTCTGTGCTCACATGTGGTCTCCTGATGTGTCTATGTCCCTGTTTTCCTTGTAAGGACATATTAAAAAAAAAAAAAAAAAAAGTTTATTTTGAGACAGGGTCTTGCTAGGTTGCTAAGGCTGGCCTCAAACTTGTGATCCTCCCAAGTTGCTGGGATCATGGTTTAAGGACATAAATCATATAGGTGCCCCAGCCCATGACACTTGTCTAACATCACGCATCCAGTAAGTGGGAGAGCCAGGCCCCAGCCAGACCTTCTCACCTCAGAGTCYGGGCTTCCTTGTGGTCTGCCTCCTTATTGTAAGGGAGGTGACTAGGGCTGGAGGACGTGCCGAACCCAGAGCTTACACCCTATCCCTTGGGTTCTGTGGCTCCCACTCTCTTCTTGAGGAATCTGAGGCCAGAGGGAGCAGAGGACTCGTGCCAGTGCCCAGAGGGGAACCAGGCGGTGCTGACTGCTTGTCCCCTCGCCTTCCCCTCCAGGGCTCTGCCCTCACTGATTTGGCTGCTCGTCCTCCTGTGCCAGGTTCGCTGACCGTCGCGCAGTCTCCCGGCCCCTCCTTTACATCTGTGTTTTCCTCTCCATCCAGGATTCTCCTCTCAGGACCCTCATGTCACACTACGAGGAGGCCATGGGACTCTCTGGACACAAGCTGTCTTTCTTCTTCGATGGGACAAAGCTTTCAGGCAAGGAGCTGCCGGCTGATCTGGGCATGGAATCTGGGGACCTCATTGAGGTCTGGGGCTGAAACCCTGTTTGGAGGCCCCTCCAGGACTTGGGGACAAAGCTTTTTTGCCCTCTCAGGGTTAGCAGAAGCTGAGTTAGAACTTATCAAGGAATGAACTTTGACTCCATCTCCTGTTGACCCTGGTCTCCAGCCTAGCTGCTTGGTTAGTTGTGTAGTGGTCGTGGCTGCCCTGGGGGCCTGTGGCTGCATGACAGGTCCTGCTGAATCGTGCAGTCCCCAGGACATGGAGAAGMTGTCTCCCCCCTCATCTCTCACCTTCATCTCCTGTCTCTTCCTCCAAATGTCTGTTCTATGAACTGTTGCTCTTATTCAAAGAGTGACTTGAAGTAAATGAGGGTTGGGTTATGGGCTTCCAGGCCTGGGACACAGGGCCTTAGATCACATCAAGGACCAACAGCGGCCTTATCCTCATTTGGGGGCTGGGAATGCAGTTTGCTGGGGGCACGTTCTCCAGAGTGGGGTCTGGGCTGCAGCTTAAGCCCTAGAACACTCTCGAAGAACAAAGGTACCAGGGTCTCAGCCACGGCATCTCCTCTCCCCAGGACCCTTTAGAGCYCCCTTTCTGGTACACACTTCCTGGTGCACACACTTGAGGCAGAACTGAACACAGCCATTTGGTTTTGGACTTTGGGATCACAGTCCCGTGCAAGGATCCTGGTTTTGTGGCGTTTCTGCCTTTCTTCCCACCATCCTGTCCCATCGGCACCCTGTTTGTTTATTCTATATCTTTGAATATCACTGTGTCCTTATAGGATACGGTGTTCAGGAGTGAATATGCTTTTACTGTTGTGTGAGATTGTGGTGCAATAGGTTTCACTCAGCATGTGTGGAGCTGGAGCCTCTGCTCATTCTAGATCTGTCACGTGGTACCCCATAGGGGCATCGACGCATTTCACTCACACGTTGCCTTAAGTAGCGGACACCGGGGTGCCACCACCTCCTGGCACCACTTTCCAGGCCACGATCAACATCCTTTTCGGTGTCCCTTCTGCGCTCGTGTGAAACTTCTCTGGCATACACACCCAGGATGGGGTTACGGGTCACACAGGCTAATCTCTCTGGCCTTCCACTGGAGGCTTCCTTCCTCCTCATCCTCCCCGGCACTTGGTACTGCCCAACTGTCTGGTTTTCGCCAGCCCGGTGGGCCCAAGGGGCACAGCGTTTAATGTATTCCCATTGGATCACCAGTAATTTGGGGGATCTTGTCGCCTGCCCCTCGGCCCCGCTGGCTGCTCTAGGAATGGCTCCTTTCCCACAGGACTTCCTTTTTGTGTGTTGTGTGTGTTTACTCTGAGGAGTTCCTCATATATTTCTGGGTAATTGCAAATAACTCAGAATGGCACTTTGTGAACCTAGGGATCCTTCACCGAATAGACATTCTTAATTTTAAGGTAGACACATTGTTTTGTTTTGAAGTTTGTTGCTTTTTGATTTATTTGAAATTAGTTAAGATATTTTCGTTTTCTTATGTTAGCTCATTTCTTTTCCTTTCACGTTGAGTCCGCAGAGTTCGGCTTGGTCCAGCTAGGACACCCTGGGCAGTGCCCTGGCTGGCCACTGTTCTGAGCGGTCCAGCACTGGTTCTCACTAGTTAATGCCAGGCTCTGCTGGTTGGAAAAGATTAAACATCACCTTTAAACTATTTGATATGTACCTTTGTGTGTGAGACCAAGTTTTATTTTTTATCATAGAATGAGCCATTTTTCTCAGTTTTGTCTACTAAAAAAAGCCATTAATCTTTCACTGATATGTGGTATAATTTTTTCAAAAGTATGTCAACTCCTTAAAAATGTTTTTGTTGGACTGCAGCATTCCTTTGAATTTTATAGCATGTAAATAATCCATGTATAGTCTAGCTCTCCATCTTTTTTTGCAGAATTTTTGTATCCATTAGTAAGTTTGAGCACATAAAAATTATGTATTCAATCTCAACAGAATAAATGGGAGTAAACTTGTATATACTTAAGGATTTCCATCTTTCTGGTCCTCATGTGACCCCTCCACTAAGATACTTGTGACAGAATCCATTATTTATTCCCTCACATCCATTCTTCTCCCTTCCAAAGTAACAGAACTCATGGCTTTTAGTGAAGTACAGAGAACCTCAATAAAGAGTCATCAGCTCTCTGGGTCTGTGAAACTGCATCTTGTAGATTCAACCAACAGTGGGTGCAAATATTAGGGGAAATAAATTCTCTCTGTGCTAAACAGGTACAGATTTTTTTGTCATTATTCCCTGAGCGATGCAGTATTCAGTACTGTATGTCATCAAGCTAGATGTGACCAAGGGCCAATTCAGGCCTGCCGGGTGGAAGTGGAAGAGGAGTGCTGCTACTTCCAGGAAGTGGCTTTAGCAGGCAGCGCGTGTCCGTGTCCTTCCCCTTTGCTTACTTCCTGCCTGCTGCCTAGGAGTAGAGCAGTTCTATGGACAAGAGGGGACCTTCACAATGGGAGCCACATGGGAGGACAATGAGGAAGGGACCTGGGGCTCACTCTCCACGTAGGCACCTTGCCAGCCCCACAGCATTGACCTGGGGTAGTTACTTTACAGTAGTCCCCCCTTATCTTCAGGGTATATGTTCCAAGACAATCCCCCATCAATGTGTACCTAATGCTGTACACACTGTTTTTCCCTATAAATACATAGCTATGATTTATCAGTTAGACTTTAGTTTACAAGTTAGGCACAATAAGAGATCAACAACTAATAACCAAATAGAGCAGTTACAACAATATACCGCTATAAAGGTTATATGAATGTGGTCTCAAAGATTCTTACTGGCTGGGGCTGGGGATGTGGCTCAAGCGGTAGCGCGCTCGCCTGRCATGCTTGCGGCCCGGGTTCGATCCTCAGCACCACATACCAACAAAGATGTTGTGTCCGCCGAGAACTAAGAAAATAAATATTAAAAATTCTCTCTCTCTCTCTCCCTCTCTCTCCTCTCTCACTCTCTCTTTAAAAAAAAAAAAAATTCTTACTGGCTAGGCGCAGTGGCACACATCTGTAATCCCAGCAACTCAGAAGGCTGAGGCAGGGGGATAGCAAGTTTGAGGCCAGCTGCAGCAACTTACTGAGACCCTGTCTCAAAATAAAAAGGGCTGGGGGGCTGGGGATTAGTTCAGTGGGTAGAGTGCTTTCCTTGTATGCACAAGGCCCTGGGTTCAATCCCCAACACCACAAAAAAAAAAAAAAAAAAAAAAAAAACGGGATGGGGATGTGACTCAGTGGTACAGTACCCCTGGGTTCAATCCCCGGTACCCATAATAAAAATATTTCTTACTGCACCGAGCTGTGTTTTGGACTCCAGTTGAACACAGATTACTGAAACTACAGAATGTGAAACCCAGGATAAGGAAGAACTTGCACATTGTTCCTGCACATGTGAACCCAAGGCCCGCTTCAGAGAAGCCCTCAACCTCCCTGACCAGCTCCAGTACCCTTTACCAGGTCTATGACATCCACGTGCTGGACTTCTCCATGAGACTCCAGAATTTGTCTTGGATTTCTGGGGTCTTGAAGTTGCATCTTCAAATAACTATAATAATTTTACTTTTCAATAGAGTTTACTAAATGTAGTTTGGAGCCCGTTATCTCAGCGGCTCAGGAGACTGAGGCAGGAGGATCTCTAGTTCAAAGCCAGYCTCAGCAAAAGGGAGGCGCTAACCAACTCCGTGAGACCCTGTCTCTAAATAAAATACAGAATAGKGCTGGGGGKCGATGGGGCTCAGGGGTGGAGTGCCCCTGAGTTCAATCCCTGGTGCCCCCACGGCCCCCCCCTTTCAAAAAAATGATGTAGCTTGGAGGTCATGCCGGGCCACTAAAGAACTACTCAAAGGCGTCCTGGGGCTGGGCTCCTGCAGGTGGCAGTGTCCTGGCGTCCTGGGGCTGAGTCCTGCAGGTGGCAGTGTCCTTACGCTCAGAGCGCCTGCCTGCACTACACGAGGCCACCAGAGGGCGCAAGAGCTCCGACCCCACTGCGGCCTGGGCGGCGGAGGACGCTTCTCTCAATGGACATGTCAGTGTCCGCAGTGGAAGCTCAGGACTGGGGAACCCGAACGAGACAGAAGGCGGCTCAACTTCACTCAGCATTCACTGAGACGAACGACGCCGCCGGCCACGCGCCGGGAGGAGGAAGCTGACTGCTGGGAGCGCCCGGCGTGGCTGCAGAGATTTACTGTCTCCGAATCCCTTGCGATCCCATTCTCTCTSCTGATTAGCAAGAAGCCTGCCAAGTGGGCGTTCCAGATAAAGCCACTGAGATCGGCCAAGTCACGGGGACAACCTTCAGGTGGGCGGTCCCGGCAGGCCCAGGCGCGGGGTTGCCATGGCGCCGGCCGCGGAGCCCCGGGGGTGGCCGGCTAGGACCGGGTTCCCGATGACCCGGGAGACCCAGGCCGCCAGTCACGTGATGCGGGAGGCTGGCGGCTCCTTTGAGGCTTCCGTAGTCCGGGCGGGTCACGTGCCGAGGGCTTGCACCCTGAGGCTCCGCCGCCGGCCCCCGCATCACATGACAGGCTCCCGGGCAACATGGCCGCCGCCGTGGTGCAGCGCTGGGGTTGAGCGACAGCGACCGTGCTGCGCCCCTGCCCGGGGTGAGGGGGGCCTCAACCTGGGAGCGGGGCCAGGCCCGCCTTAACCCTATCCTGTCCCCAGCGTCACCTGAATTCCTTGTGTCCCCTGTGCGCGGTGGTCTTCGGGGAGAGCATGACAGGGCCCGGGGTCCTCCCCAGCCATGCTGATGCTTGGGGCGAGCTCCTTACCMGACTCAGGGCGCGCTAGGATCCCCAGGGTTCTCCCCGACCTCCTTTCTCCAGCCTCCTCCTCTCGCAGGTGGATCGTCGGTGGGACCGGAGCGCGGACGGGCKCGCGCCCCCCGGGACCATGGCCGGCTCCGACACCACGCCCTTCCTCAGCCAGGCGGATGACCCAGAGGACGGGCCGGTGCCGGGCACCCCGGGGTTGCCGGGGTCTATGGGGAACGCCAAGTCCGGGGAGCCCGAGATCCCGGATCGCGAGGGGTTGCAGCGCATCACCGGCTTGTCCCCGGCGCGCTCCGCCCTCATAGTGGCCGTGCTGTGCTACATCAACCTCCTGAACTACATGGACCGCTTCACCGTGGCCGGTAGGTTCACTTCTGCCGGGGAGGGAGCGGGGTGCCCAGGATGGGGCCGCCTCCCCRGCTCATCCCAAGCGCTGTCCTTCCAGGCGTCCTCCCAGACATCGAGCAGTTCTTCGACATCGGAGACAGTAGCTCTGGCCTCATCCAGACCGGTGAGTGGAGGCCACTCTTGGCCACACACAGCAGCAGTTATTTCTAGGGGCCTCATTGATAAGGGAGGTAATGACTTTGATTTTGCTCGGGACTGACCGGTTAAGCTAGGGCATCACATTTAAAGGGGGAGTCCATTCGGAGTAAATCTCTGCTCTTCTGCTTACTGTGTGGTGATAGGTAAGGTGCCCAGCGTCTCTAAGGCTCCTTCTCTTTGTCTGTAAGATAGAACTAGTAAGAACAGATCGTCTCTTAGGACCAACTTGAGAATTAAATGAATTTATGCCCGAGAAGTGCCTGGTGCAGTGTTTGGAACGTGGGAGGCACTTGATAGATAATGGCAGGAGAAGGTGTCTGGAATGGGAAAAGGTGAATTTTCCTTGTTCAGATCTTTGGGGTGCAGGGAAGGTAAAGCCAGGCCCAAAGTCTTCTTTTCCTTCCTTCCCTCCTTCATTCCTCAAATGTTTCTGAGTACCTACTATGTGCCAACTGCTGGAGGAAGTGATGATACATCTATAGGACTTTACCAAGACATCAGTCAGTATCTTCAAATCTTTCTTCTGGGGGAGGAATTGGCTATTCCTGTTATTATCCCTGTTTTGCATAGGAAGTAGGTAATGTCACCCACCGGCATCTTTTATAAGAAACTGAGGCTTGGAGATGAGTTTTGCCCAGGGTCAAGTTCCAGACAGAGTAGGGATTTTAATTCTCGCAGTGTTCTTTTTTCTACTCCAGACCAATGAGGAACTTAAGGTATGAAAGTCTGGAGAAACAGGCATGTGATCATAGGTCAGTGTTGTAAACCCCCGGAGAKTTACGTTGGATGGAACTGGCAATCTGTGCAGGGCGGGAGGCGGTTTTCAGTAAAACTTTCAATTAAAATGAGATCATTCTCCATAAGGATGAAGTATTATGTGAAATAAAATAAGTGTGGTAGGCAGGGACTGGCTATGTGGTGATTTGGAAAGGTATCTAGTCTGGAATCTAAAGGAGCCAARCTCTGTGAGCTCAGGGGAGAGGAGAATATGTTCCAGATAGAAGGGGCCAGAAGGGGCCCAAACCCTTAAGATGTTATTGACCTTGGCAATTGGGCTATTGGATGCAGAGGGGAAGGGAAAGCGGGTGACTGTGAGGTTGACCAGGTGGACGGGCTAGCTCGGGGCATCATGGGCCACTGAGCTGAGCTTGAGTTTTGGTTTAGGCTGGGTAGGAGGGACTGGTATGGCGCCAGGACCATCCATTCTAAGTGGGAGTTTGGGAAAGATGTTGAAGATGGGGACAGTCCGGCACTGATGGGTTACAGGACTGGGTCGAGGGGATGGTGGCGAGTCCGTGAGGAGGAGGGGGAGGCTGTCTCTTGCTGAGTGTTTCCTGCATCTTGAATCCCTGAGCTGGGGTGGGAGTTGGGGGGCCCGGGAGCTAGGGCTAGGCTGTGACTCTCTCCTTCCTCCCAGTGTTCATCTCCAGTTACATGGTGTTGGCACCTGTGTTTGGCTACCTGGGTGACAGGTACAATCGGAAGTATCTCATGTGCGGGGGCATTGCCTTCTGGTCCCTGGTGACACTGGGGTCATCCTTCATCCCCAGAGAGGTGAGGCCCCGAGCTGGTTCCTGCTTCTGGCCACTCCCCACACCCCCATCAGTTTGCCGCTGCTCCTTGGAGTCATTTCAGCCCGGGCGCAGTGGTCCCTGCCACCTTCTGCCCTCTYCTTGCCTGAGTTCATCTCCACCCGTCCGCTTCCCCTTTCTTTCAGAACCTTCTTCTGTTTGTCACCCCGTTCCCCTGGTCATTTGCTCCTCCCCTCCACACCTAAATGCTCATGTTTCTCTGCCTTGGAAAAAACCCTTCCCCTTCCTGGTCCGATTTCCTGAGAGGGCCCTTGAGTTCAGGGCCAGCGTGGGCGAGGGGACAGCCAGGGAGCGGCTCTCACTCTTTGCCCAACTCCCTCAGTCCCCACTCACCCTCAAGTGCTGCCAGCTGACTTCTGCCCCCACCACTCCATTGAACCTGCTCTTGCCAAAGTCAACAGTGACCTCCCAGTTGCCAAATGGGGCTCCCACTTCCTAGATCTGCTCCTGTTTGATCTCCTGGGAGCCCCGGCACCCCCAGCCCACTTTGTCCTTCTGGAAGCTCCCTTCTGACTTCTCGATGCATGTTCTGATTTCCCTCACACCTCCCTGGCTGTGGCTTCTGGGCTCCCCTGGAATCTCCTCCATCTGCTGTCACTGTGCCCTGGCCTCTGTCCTCAGCCCCAGGCCCCAGGTGTACTCTCCTTGGTTGATTGTACCTTGTCCTTAGCTTCAGGTGTTGGCAGACACCTAAGGTCCTTATTCACCTTTGTCTTGGTGGGAGGGGCGTGGTAGCCACTAAGGTTTGTTTGGCACCTACTGTGTGCGAGGGAAGGAGTAGACCTTTACTGTGCAGGCCTCRCAGTAGCTGTGTGAACAAGTTATTGTTATTCCCCTTTTGCAGATGAGGAAACTGAGGCTCAGAGAGGTTAAGTTACTTTCTCAAAGTCCCAGCTAGTAAGTGGTTGACCAGGATTCCAGCCAGGTCTGTCTGATTCTAAAGCCCAGGTTTCTCCAGCACTGGCTGGGGAGGTGGCCTGGGAGGCTGACTCCAGGGTGGGCTGCCACCTCCCCTGTTCTTCCCCAGCGTTTCTGGCTGCTCCTCCTGACCCGGGGCCTGGTGGGGGTCGGGGAGGCCAGTTACTCCACCATCGCACCCACTCTCATCGCCGACCTGTTCGTGGCCGACCAGCGGAGTCGCATGCTCAGCGTGTTCTACTTTGCCATCCCAGTGGGCAGGTGAGCTGGCCTTGGGCCTGGTGAGGGGCAGAGGGCCTAGGTGCGGGGCCCGGCTGACCGGCTGTCCCTTTTTCCCCCTTTCCCCTAGTGGTCTGGGTTATATCGCAGGCTCCAAAGTGAAGGATGTGGCTGGGGACTGGCACTGGGCTCTGAGGGTGAGTTCGGTCATGTACTRGAGGGAGGTCAGGGACATTCTCACTGGGCCCCCTTTCTGCCCTTCAGACGCCTCCTTCCGTGGCAGTGCCCACTCTCTGAGCCGGCAGGAAACCTGGTGCCCTCACCAGGAAGCCTGTGCTTGTGGGTATCGGAGCCCAYGTAAAACTGTAGGCCCCGGAAAGTGGCTGCGTTTGCTTTTATAGTGGAAAGCCCCAGGATGAGCATCAGGTAAAGCTGGATCCAGGGCTCCCACGCTGTCAAAGGAAGGAGATYGTTCTCTGTTTATCGTTCTCTGTTTAGCTTCCTGTCCTTGATGCTAGCTTCGGGTGTGTGAAACTCTAAATGATTCTCTTTCACCTGAGCAACTTGGGCATGTTGGATCCTTGGGCAATAATCCTGGTGGTGATGATATGCGGTTCCCAGGCCTCCCATGAAATCAGCCACCAGCACTGGGGGTTAGCGGTGCTGATTTTGGCCAAGTCTGAGATGCTGTTTGAACCACGTAGATTGACAGCAGTGTGTGAGGGGGGTGCTTTCTCAAAAGAAAACTAGGGTTCTGTTATCAAAGGAAGCAAAGTTAGCCTTGCAGAAATAGGGTGGCCCCCAGTGACACCCCCCACTTCTCAAATGGGGGCTTGGCTTCCTTGAGCCGACACCCGAGGGGTCTCCACTGTCACTCTCCCCCAGCCTAGAGATTGAGTGTGTCCTGCCCTGTGCCCTTTCCTGAATCCTGCCGTTTCCCCAGGTGACACCAGGTCTAGGAGTGGTGGCTGTCCTGCTGCTGTTCCTGGTAGTACGGGAGCCGCCACGGGGCGCTGTGGAGCGTCACTCAGATTCGCCACCCCTGAACCCCACCTCGTGGTGGGCAGATCTGAGGGCTCTGGCAAGAAAGTGAGTTCAACCCCTTCCCAGTCCAGCATCTGAGGCCCCGGCATCTATGGAGGCTGAAGCGGGCCGGGACTTGGTTGTCTGCCAGCTGCCCAGGAGTGACTAGGACAGTCCTGTGGCTACTGCCCCCTTGTGTCAGCGTCCTGAATAGCAGGCCCGGGACCAGTGGGCTAGCCTCCACTCCCAGGGTCCCGACTTCAAAAATTAAGCYGGGAGGGAGAAGGGTGTCCTTCCTACCTGGACCACCGCAGGACCTGACCCCTCCCTCCCCGCCCCCTGTCCGCAGTCCCAGTTTCACCCTGTCCTCCCTGGGCTTCACTGCYGTGGCCTTTGTCACGGGCTCCCTGGCGCTCTGGGCGCCCGCGTTCCTGCTGCGTTCCCGTGTGGTCCTGGGGGAGACTCCCCCCTGCCTCCCTGGAGACTCCTGCTCTTCCTCTGACAGGTACCCAGATGGGGTGGGCAGGGGGCCTGTAGGTGGCAGGGGTGGGGAGCCTGGGATTCGGGATCGGGCAGGAGGCTGAAGCCCGGCTCTGTGCCAGAGTCTCAGTCTCTGGGTCTGGGACACGTGGCGGGATAGCATCTCCTCTCGGGGGTCCGTGGACCGTGGGTGCTTTTCCTGAATARACCTGGGTGCGAGGGTGGCTGGGATGAACCATCTTCCCCCCCAGGCCAGGGGGACCCGGCGGGGCCCTTGCAGGCTGAGGGTCTAGTCCCCCACGCCCCACCCCCACCCCCTAGTCTCATCTTCGGGCTCATCACCTGCTTGACCGGGGTCCTGGGTGTGGGCCTGGGTGTGGAGATCAGCCGCCGCCTCCGCCGCTCCAATCCTCGGGCMGACCCGCTGGTCTGCGCCGCTGGCCTCCTGGGCTCTGCACCCTTCCTCTTCCTGTCCCTCGCCTGTGCCCGTGGTAGCATCGTGGCCACCTACGTAAGTAGCTAGCAGGGGTCAAGGGGACGTTCTGGGTTCAGGGTGGAGGAACTGGGGTCAGCCAGCAGAGTGGTTCAGAGCCTACTGAAAGTGGAATGCCTGGTTTCGAATCCCATCTCTGGTCTTTCCCATCTGTGTGACATTGAGGAAGTAGCTTAACCTCTCTGTGCTCAGTTTTTTAATCTGTAACATGGGACCTGCCTCACAGAGGTGTGGTGAGAAGGGGTTAGTGGATGAGCCTGGTATGTAGTAGACCCTTCTTATAGTGAGACCCCCACCCCTCAGATTTTCATCTTTATTGGAGAGACCCTGCTGTCTATGAACTGGGCCATTGTGGCTGACATTCTGCTGGTGAGTAGCTGGCAGCTCCAGGGTGAGCCTAGAGGCTGATGGGAGCAGGGATTGGCATCAGGGGAYATCGCTGGCTCTGAATCGGGGCCTTTCCTCCTTTAAAACCCAACCCCCATTAACTTGTGGATGCAGCCCCGGGGTGCCTGTAGTCCTGGCCTGGTCTTGACCTTGGGCCCAGACTGAGCCTTGGCCCTGGCCTGGCCCCTGCCTCTTGCCCCGAGCCCCCCTGAGTCCCACTCYTCCCCCAGTACGTGGTGATTCCCACTCGCCGCTCCACTGCCGAGGCATTCCAGATTGTGCTGTCCCACCTGCTGGGCGACGCGGGGAGCCCCTACCTCATTGGCCTGGTGAGCCCCTGGGCTGGAACGGGGTGGGGGACGGGCCCTCMCTTGCAGCACTAGCTGGTGGCCTGAGCCTGGGGGGGGCACTCGTCCCTGTTAGGCACCTCTGCCTGGTGTCTCCTACCTCCCCTCCAATGCCGGGAGCTCTGGGCTCGCCCGGGGTCCAACCTCCTTCCCTTCCTCGGGCTCCATGTTCCTTTTCCCTGATGTCCAGGGGTCCCCGGCCCCGGCCCCTGCCTGGCTCCCTCCGACTCCCTCTCCTCCTTGCAGATCTCTGACCGCCTCCGTCGGAGCTGGCCGCCCTCCTTCCTGTCCGAGTTCCGGGCCCTGCAGCTGTCCCTCATGCTCTGTGCCTTTGTGGGGGCGCTGGGTGGTGCGGCTTTCCTGGGCACCGCCATCTTCATCGAGGGTGACCGCCGGCGGGCCCAGCTGCATGCGCAGGGTCAGTGTGGCCTGCTGTTGGCCACCGTCACAGTACCGTGTGTCTGTCTGTCCAGGCCTGTGTGCCSGGCACCTCCCGGTCCTCCGCTCTCCCCCCTTCAGGTCTGGGTCTGTCTGTCCCGCACGCTGATCCCTGTCTGTGTCTGGGAGTTCCTGCTGCTGCTCCTTCTGTGTCCCATGCCCGTCTGTCCCCCCACTGGCTCTGCCTGTCCATCCAGCCCTGGCTCTGACCCCTCCCCACAGGGCTCCTGCCCGAGGCGGGGTCCACGGACGACCGCATCGTGGTTCCCCAGCGAGGCCGCTCCACCCGGGTCCCGGTGTCCAGCGTGCTCATCTGAAGCTGCSTCACTTTGTCACTCGTCTGTCTGCAGATCTGCTGCAGCTGGCCCTGGGCCACCCCRCCGGGTGCCCTGGTCCCAGACCCTTGACCTGGCCCATTTCAGGAGGAGACCCCGGGCTGTGTCCCGCTCCCTGACACTACATGGGCATCGCAGAGGAGGGTGGGGTCTGGGAGGGGACATCCCCTCTGCCCGGTGGCCCCGGGGCTTGGTGCTATTTGTAATGGGAATAAAATTTGTAGCCAGACCGCACGTGCCTGCCGGAGTGTCTCTCTGGGTGTAGTGGCCTCCGACCTCTGGCTGTGGGGGTGCCCCATCTCCAGCCTCAGGGCTCCTGGGAACTGCGCGGTCACTCCTGTGGGGAGTCCCTGTCTTCTGGGCTGGGTGACCCCGAGGGAGCACTGCTCTGAGCTGGTTCAGTGTGACTGTGAGTCAGGCCTSTGCTGCTCGGGAGCCCCCTCCTCCCGGCAGGCAGGCCTGGGGGCGGTGGGGTGGACGCTGCCCTCTGCCCCTAGTCTCCCTGCYCTCAGAGCCTCCCTGGGGCTGCCTCCCCCTCAAATGGGAGGCCGCAGAGGGCCCTGGGGCTGGCCAGTGCGCCCCTTCCCACCAGAGCCTCGCCCCTGCCTGCGGCCAGCAGCCCCTCCTGAGAGCCCCGTGGCTCCCCAGGCCTCTTCCCCCTCCCCACAGCTGGGTGGGGGTGGCGGGGGGCGGGTGCAGCTGGCTGAGGAGGCTGATGACTTCCTGCCCTCACCCGGTGCTCACCACAGCTTCCTGCTGCGGGTGGCGGGCCAGCGGGTGTGGAGGAGAGGCAGGCGCCGAGCCGAGGGGCAGGGACGCCCTGGGCACAGGGACCACACAGGGCGACTGGTGCCCCAAACCCCAGCCCGGGCCCTGGTCCACCCAGGACCAGGGTCTCAGAGCCGGCTCCCAGCCCCACTCAGYCCAGCAAGGGGAGGTGGTCCCGGAGCCCCCGGGAGGACACAGCTGCTCACCAGGACCCCCCGTGGGGGGCCCTCTTGGTCCCTACTCACCGCTGCAGCTGAGCCGACAGGGGCCTGTGGGGCAGCCGGCCCGGTGCAGGCGCCCTCCTGCAGATGGAGGTGGCCGGCCTGACCCCCTACCCGCTGGGCCTCCTGCTGCTGCCCCTCCTGGCCATGCTGCTGATAGCCCTGTGCGTGCGTTGCCACGAGCCGCCCGGTGAGTGGGGAGCTGGCGGGGACCCCAAGGGAGGCCCTGACCCAGGCCCCAAGCCCCGGCCCTCTTCACCGTCCCCACCTCAGCTGCTCCCTGGGACTCAGGGCCCCCGGGCCCYGGCACCTGTCCCTCTGCACCCCTGCCCCGTCTCACCTGGCCTGTCTCCCCCAGACTCCTACGACAGCGCTCCCGCAGACAGGTGAGTGGCGCCGCCCTCCTTTCCCCTGCCCTGGGCTGGGGCCGGCCTCTCTCGGCCACTCACCCAGCTGTGTCTCTCCTCCCAGTTCAAACCCCACGAGCATCCTGATCAAACCTCCCTGTGAGTACCAAGGGTCCCGTCTTCTAGTGCCGGGGAGGGGTCCCCTGGCCCGCGAGCCCACCTGGGGCTGCCCACATGGTTTTGTCCTGAGCTGTGATGGGAGGGCAGGGGACGGCCCCCAGGCGCAGGGGCTTCAGGAGCTGACTCAAGGCCTGGGGCCTGATGTCTGGAGTCCTTCCTTCCAACTCGGTTCTGTCCTCAGACACACCAGTTCCCTGGCCACCTGCCACCTCCTACCCTCCTGTTATCTCCTACCCACCTCCCAGCCAGCCAGACTTGCTCCCCATCCCGTGAGTACCCCTCGACGGCTCTCCCCTCTCCAGATCCCACCTCCTGCCCCCTCCCTTTCTCGCACTGGGGCCTCTTTTCCTGTTGCAACCCATCTCGCCTCCCGAGCCTCTCCCAGGCATGACCCCTGACCTTTGACTCCCAGGAGATCCCCGCAGCCCCCTGTGGGTTCCCACCGGATGCCACCCTCCCAACAGGATTCAGATGGTGGTAAGGGCAAAGAGGGGCTGAGGGGCGGGGGGCTCTGCAGCTGGGCAGAAGGCGGACCCAGCCTGAGCTGACCCCATGTCCATCTTGTTCTCTCTGAAGCTAACAGTACGGCGAGCTACGAGAACCAGGGTGCGTCTGGGATCTCGCGTCCCCGGGCTAGGTGGGGCAGCTGGCATCTGTCCCAGGTCATGCTGACCCCTRTGTCATTGTCCCCAGAGCCAGCCTGTGAGGACGCAGATGAAGATGATGAGGAGGACGACTATCACAACCCGGGCTACCTGTGAGTGGCCAGGCGGGAGATGGGGGCCAAGTGAGCCCAGGCGTCCTCGCTCACCTTCCTCGCTCTCTCCTTGCAGGGTGGTGCTTCCTGACAGCACCCCAGCCACTAGCACTGCTGTCCCCTCAGCTCCTGTGCCCAGTGACCCTGGCCTCCGTGACAGCACCTTCTCCAGTGAGTTCAGTATTTCTGTGTACCTCCTTTGCCCCATGTGCCACCTGACCTTCTTCTCTTCCCTCTCCTATTTCTTTAATGATGGCTCCCCTTCTGTTCTCTCATTCATATGTTGGACTTCCTGTTCCGATTTGACTTTCTTTTTTTTTTTACCTTTTATCTCCCCTTTGTCTTTTTCCTGTGCAATCATTGTCTGAGAGATTTCCTGACTCTCTTCTTCAATCCTTCTACTGCAACTTCCTTTCTCCCATSCAAAGGTCTTTCCTGGACTCTGAGTGTTCTTTTTGTATAGCTTCCTGTTCTTGTTTCTTTTTCTTTTTTCTTGTACTGGGGATTGAATCCGGGGCCTCACCCATATTAGCAAGCACTAATAGAGGCCATAGCATCTTGCAAATCTCTAAGAATATTAACTAGAGGTGGTCTTTTTTTTCTTTTTCTGGAGATTTTCTTCTGTTTCCTGCATCGTCTCGGTTTCTTTTGAACCACCTTTCCTGGTCTCATTGCAGGGCTTTCTGTTCCCATCCCCTCCCTGGACTAGTTGAGTATCCCTYATCAGAAACACTTGGGACCAGAATGTTYTGGGTTTGRRAATATTTGCATATACCTAAGGAGGTATCTTGGGGATGGGACCCAAGTCTAAGCATGAAATTCATTTATGTTTTAACATATACTTTGTATCCATAGCCTGAAGGTAATTTGATACAATATTTAAAATAACTGWACAAAAAACTAAGTTTCAYGGTGTGCARTTTTCCACTTGTGGTATTATGTTGGCACCCAAAAGATTTTGGATTTTGGAGCTTTTTTAGATATTGGGTTTTTGGATTAGGGATGCTCAGTCTATATGTACTGGAACTGGGCTGTCACTGCCATGCCTGGCTCCAACTTGCCGTTCAGATTTCCCATGTGCCACCTCTCTTCTGGGCTCCAGACCGTCTGTCCGAATGCTCTCATTTATTCACTCACTCACTCCTTCGTTCGTTCACTTATCGGGCATGTCTGCTGGGCTCACATCAGGATGGACRAGTTAATGAGGCAGGCTGGGACGATAGAAGGACTATCACTTACTGAAGGCCTACTCTGTGCCCTACGAAGAGTCGTATGTGTATAATGGCCAGGTGCTCTAGTGTCCGTCCCTTCCCCTCCAGCCCCCTCAGTACCAGGGCAGGGTTTATTTATTTGTTTTTACTTATTTTGAGAAAACCTCCCTATGGTGTCCAGGCTGGCCTTGAATCCCTGGGTTCAAGCGATCCTCTTGCCTCGGCCTCCTGGGTAGCTGGACTCGGGGTGAACGGATTAGCAGCCATTAGGCAGGGCTTACTGCAGGACAGGCCCCGTCCTATTACCTCTGCTTTAATCCCTACAACTCTGCGAGGCAAGTCCCTTCCTGATCCTGTTTCACAGTCGAGGAGATAGGCACAGAGAGGTGAGATAACTTATCTGAGGTCACACAGCAGTTCCTTAGTGCTGGATCAAGGTTTGAACCTGGGCGGTCTGTCTGCAAGGTCACCTTGTCCACGTCCTCATGGAGAAACATGAGAGAATCAGACAGCGAGCGTGGGGGATGAGTGACGGGTCTTCAGAACATTGCCTGCGTCCCTGTGCAGCTGACTGGGGGTGGGTTGTCMTGGGAGCCTCGGGGTGTCCCTGAGGCCCTGGACATCTGAATTGGGGGGCTCCGGGAATCGGTGACTGAAGGTGTCTAATGACAGYGGTGGGGGCGGGTGGGCCTCGGTGGCTTCCCACAGTGGAAGATTACGTGAACGTTCCTGAGAGCGGCGAGAGCGCAGAGGCGTCTCTGGGTGAGTGACCGGGCTCTAGTCRCCCACCCTGTCCCCCTCCATCCGTGGAGCCCACCCATGGCCGCCCACTGCCCCCTCCCTGTCTGTCTGGGGCTCCTTCTGCCCTGCCCCCACTCCCTCAGTGTGACCTGGCCCCCCCTGGCCTGACCATCCCTCCTTCTGACCTGTCCCCACAGATGGGAGCCGGGAGTACGTGAACGTGTCCCAGGAGCTGGAGTCCGAGGCTCCAGCCGAGCCTGGTGTGTATGGGGGCAGGGGCGGGAGCAGGGGTGGCTTTCAGGCTGGACACCAACCTCCCGTCCTGTCCCGTCCTGTCCCAGCTCCCCTGAGCTCCCAGGAAGTGGGGGATGAAGAGGAAGAGGGGCTTCCGGACTATGAGAACCTGCAGGAGCTTCACTGACGGCCTGGTGAGTGGCCCTCGTCTTCAGCACTGTCCTGGGCCGGTGACCCTCCCTCCAGGACCCTCTTGACCACCCAGCACCTCAGGCCTGTCCTTTCTGCTGTTGACCCTGCTGCTGGCCCCGACCCCTGACCCACGGCCCCTCCGCCTCCCCCGCCCTGTGTGTTTCAGCCGGGGTCACGTCTGTCCTGGATCCAGCCTTGYGGGGCCAGCTGAGCTGGGCAGCTAGAAGTGGCTCTGGGGGCTCCACTTGGTACCCTGCCYTGGCTCCAGCTGGACAACAGCCTGAGAATCCCCCCTAACTTATTGTCACTTTGGGGGCCAGCCTGTGTCCCCCCCAATACCCTGCACCTTCTGACGTAGCCTGAGAATGAACCCCCTGGTCCAGCCCCACCCTCTGTAACCGAATAAAGGCCGCGTGGTCTGTGGCGCCCTTGACTTTGAGGCCCCAGGGGCTGGAGGCTGATGAGGTTGGGGTGCGCCGGGTCCTGCCTGTGTCTGCGCTGAGAACGTGGGAGGSCACACGTGCGTGTGCCTGCGTGTCGGGGAGCCGTGGAGACCTGTGTGTGCGTGCGGTGGTCTCCGTCACCCACAGGGTGGAGCGCCTGGCCTGGTCCTGGGAGTGACAGCAGACGCTGCCCGGCACACGGCTGCCTTTGGAGTGAGGCTGAGACCCAGGACCCAGGTCGCATCCCCCACGAGGTGGTCCATGCAAGTGCAGCGCTGGTGGMAGAGCCGCTGATGGTGGGGTCTCCCGGGGGCGGTGTGGATGTCAACCGTGAGACCCTCCCCCAGGCACTCATCCTCTGTCCTTGTGACCAGGGACTGGCCCTGATGACCTCGAGTGCTCTCCTGTGTGGTTCTCAGTAGATCAGAAACGGTGGCCGCGAGTCGGCTGCTCTGGAGGGAGCCTGGCCGGGAGGGAGGCAGGGCCCCGACTGCCACCACAGCGAGACCTGGTCTCAAAAAAAAAAAGTTCTAGGTGGCTGACAAAGCTGGTGTGGGGCAGCCCGTTTCAGGTGGCTCCCGCAGGACTGGCTCAGTGCCACCCCGACTCGGTGGCCKGGGCGGGGCCCGGGACTCTGCATCTCGCTGCAGCACCCAGGGGAGCTCCCTGGACTGCATCTTGGACAGCAGACTGTGACTGTGGTGCCCACCTGAGCGGCATCCCCTGCCCCTTATTTTGGGAACATCCCCTTGGGCTCCCCTGGGCTCCCCTCCTTTCCCAGTCTCATTCCGGGTGGATCTGGAGCTGGTTGAGCCAGCCTGCACCCCGGGAGGGGACCCCAGACATCCCCCTTGCCTCTGGCCACTGTGAGGGCTCAGGCAGAGGCACRGGAGCAGCCCCATGGGGAGGCACAGCCCTGGGGACGTGCTGGGAGGAGAAGCCTGTCCTTCGCAGCGCTCCTTCAACTGGAGGTCAGAGTCCTGCGGCCACCTGGGAAGCCCACCTAGGACAGAGCCATCGGGAAGGAAAGAGCGTCCCAGAGACGGCCAGCGCGGCTTCCTGATCTAACCGCACAGGGGCAGGACGACCCTCTCAGGTTTCCCGGTCACCTGGGCCAATAAATTACCCTTTGTCTTCAACCCGCTGACTTGGAGTCTCTGTCACCACMATCAAAGTTGCCCTGAGCCATGCAAAGTTGCCAGTTCTCTGTGGACTCTGGAGGTAACAGGGACTTCTCGTGGGGCACCTTCTCAATCACCGTGACTTCCCTATTGTCAGTTACGGTTAGTGCCCCCACTTCACAGGTGAGAAAGCAGGTTCAGAGAGGTGAGGTGATTTGCCCAAAGGCACAAAGCCAAAGAAAGAGGTAGATCTGAGATTAGGTCTGTGGCCTCCAGAGTCACAACTGCCTGCTGCCCTGGTTCTGGTTATTGTGCAAAATGCCAGCTGCCTGGGACATGGCAGAGCACATGACACCGAGCTCATGACACCGAGCTGGAGACGTGGGGGAAGGAGACGGGGTTCAGCCAGACAGGAAGATGGAGTTAAATCCTTTTATTGGGAGGAACCAGAAATGGGCAGAGGCATCTGTGTGTCTGGGCAGAACAGTTTACCAACCGGGGATGCTGGAGGACAATCGAGCAACGCCTGGGAATCTGGAGGTGTGCGCGTCCCTTTCCCAGCAGACTCGGGTGGAGACTCTGGCTGACTGGCACCTGGGCTGAGGCAGCGGGGCCAGCAGCAGGCACAGGGCCACCCTGCAGATTACAGGCCTGTGCCACGGCTTCCAGCCACAGCTGGAAAGCAGCCGACACCCGTTGCCAGACAACAGTCTGATAAGCTGGGTGAAGTCACATGGCAAATACTCACCAGCTGATAAAATGAGCCAGGCCTGTCAACGCAGATGGACATCACCAGCAGAATGTGGGGTGAGGCGGCCAAGCCAGCCACACACGTCCAGTTAAGAATGGGAAAATGACACTGGTGGACTAGCCCTGATCCAAAATGCTTGGGACCGAAAGTATTTCAGACTCTGCAATATCTGCACATATATAGGTATCTTGGAAATGAGACCCGAGCCTAAAACAAAATTCAGTTATGTTTCATGTACACCTTATACACCTAGCCTGGGGACAGGGTCTTGCTAAATTGCTGAGGCTGGCCTCTAACTTGAGATCCTCCTGCCTCGGCCTCCCAAGTAACTGGGATTACAGGTGGGCACCACCATGCCCGGCTTATACAATATTTTTAGTGTACTTGTTTTGACAGCAATCTGTCACGTGAGGTCAGGTGTAGAATTCTGCACTTGCGACCTCACGTTGGTGGTCAAAATGTTTTGGATTTCAGGTTTCAGGTTTTTGAACGAGTGATGTTCAACCTGTACCTGGTTTGGGGTCACACATTCATAAAGGTACCCCGATGGGGTAGAGAACTAAGATCAAGGCTCSAGGATGGAACGGTCAGGGTAGGGGGATGTGGCCCAGGTGGCTCTAGAAGACAGTGGACAGCAGGCCAAGCCTCCCTGGTGGTTTATGCCGAGCGAACAAGCTGGCTGTGGTGCCCCAGACCTTAGCAACAGCCTCCACAGAGGCCACACGGTGTAGTGGAGGCACTAAAAGAAATTCCATGTGGTGAGGCTGGAGAAGACTCTAAGAGATGAGTGGACGGGGGTGGGGCTGAGCCCTGTGGAGACTCGATCCTGAGAGACCCAGGGTGGCCCCTGGAGGCTTTGGAGCTCAGGAGGACATGATCAGGTCTGTGTTTTAGCAGAGATCTTTGGCTTGGTTGATGGGCAGAATCGATGGTGAGGCCAGTTAAGCAAGAGGCAGGGAGGCCATGAGGAGGCTGTTGGAGTCATCCCCGTGAGCAATGGTGGCGGGCTGGCCACAGAAGTGGCAGGGGCAGCAGAAAGAAGTGGTAGAATAAGAAGGTGTTGAGAGGCACAATCCAAGTCCTTGCCTTGGGGACTGGGTGGTGCAGGTATTCCCTGAAGCACTGAGCAGGTTCCATTTGCGTTTCTTGGAGTGAGCAAGGGGAGGTGGCTTTGCTTCCACAGCCGGTGACCCAGGTGGGAAAGAGCAGACCATGCAGTTGAGGTGTCCTGGGCTGGGGCCAGGATTTCTTAGCACATTGAGTGGTCAGTGGGGAGGCCCCTACAGGAGCTGGGAGCAGAAGCAGATTTTTCTTGAATTCTAGCATTGGAGAAAAGGTAGATTTAGTAAGAGAGAGAATTTTCTGGAATTTCTAGAGAAGAAATCTGGATCCTCGTGATCCTCCTGCCTCAGCCTCCCAAGGGCTGGGATTACAGGCCTGTGCCACCGCCCCAGACGGCTTACTTTTTACCAGGACTGAACTCGGAGCACAAGGCCACCGAGCCACATCCCAGCCCTATTTTGTATTTTATTTAGAGACAGGGTCTCACTGAGTTGCTCAGGGCCTCGCTTTTGCTGAGGCTGGCTTTGAACTCACAATCTTCCCRCCTCAGCCTCCCCAGCTGCTGGGATGACAGGCGTGCACCTCTGCCCCCTGCCCGGACCTCTTAACCTTTGACTTATATAATTGGTTTGGTTAGTCGCAGAGATAGCAAGCACTAATTCCAAGCCTAGAGCTGTACTTGATAACAAGAGCTTTGAAATGTAAGYCAGGAGACTGAACTTTTTGCCTTGACTCTGCCACTTGACCTTTGTGGGACTTTGAGGATATTGGATTTAAGTCTGTTCTGWGTCTCGGTGGGGGCAGGGGACRTTGGGGCRGGAACCCAGGGCCTCSTGCCTGCCAGGCGAGCRCTCTCTCCCTGAGCCACATCCCCTGTCCTGGATTGAAGTTTCAGACCTTTCCATTCTGAGGTGCCCTAGCCCCAAAGAATGTCCTTGAAAGCCGCAGAGCAGGTTCTTACTGCTGAGAGGCTGAATGTCCAGGAGCAGCTGCAGTCAGAGGGCGCACTGGCACCTCCCATGGTCGGTCGGCTCAGATCTCTGCTCTCCTTTCTCTACGGAGTCCATTTCCGGTCTCTTCATGAGTGTCCAGGAGACACCGAGTCCAGGGTCCCCATCCCTCCAGGTTTCCATGCAGTGGGAGGGGCAAGATATTCAAGTTCCCGGCAGAGCCCTAAACTTATTCTGATTGGATGAGCTTGGGGCACTTGACTCTCCTGAACCAATCACTGGCCAGGGGAACACCACACGAGGTGGGTTTGGGCCCGCCCCTGACCTAGAATCCACTCCCAACTCGGCCTGGACACAGGGATGGTGCTCAGAGAAAAATTCAGCACTATGCTGGTAGAAGGAGGGATGTCTGTATGAGATGCATTTATTGCACGCTTACTGTATGCCATGCTCATTATTATATGGAGTCTCAGGATACCCGAGTGGGAGGCGGGAGGARTCCATTCTGTAGACAAGAGAAAGAGCTCAGAGAGGTTGAGTGATTTACTTAAGGTCTCACAACAAATTCCGAAGCCAACTCTGAGAGGGAGAGGGGGAGGTTGTGCATTAGCTGGAAGTTGGTGGAATAGGAGAAACCGAAGGTAAGCCAAGGAGCCAGCCGTGGAGGGTCAGTTCTGCTTCGCACAGGGGACTTGGGCTGGAGCTCTTGGGAGTGAGGCTTTCTTATTAAGCTGGGACCACTCGACAAGGGCCCTGAGCTGCCAGGGRCCACAGTGAGCAGGGCAGAGAGAAGGCAGCAGAAGAGGAGCAGCGTTGAGAGGTGAGGGCGGCAGGTTCCTGAGAGCACCGAGGTGCTGGATCCGCTGGTTCCTGAAGTCGGCTCCACGTGGGAGAAYGATGATCACCCCTCTCTGCCTTGGCTCGGCTTCAGCTGGGTCTCTCTCATTTGCAAATGAAAGAGTTGACTCAGAGGCAGGATGCTGTGGGAGCCTCGGCCTCACCAACAAGGGCCCCATCTTCAGACACCTGCCACATGCCATGCGGTGGCACTCTGCCTACSTTCAGTCCACCCCGGACCCTTGAAGCAGTTCTTCTCTTGCTACCCTTTTACAGAGGAGGAGACTGGGCTTCAGAGCGAACAGGTTGCCAGACCAAGCGGGGACTGTCGCTGTCCCTCCCGGAGCAGCCCAGGGCCACCCTGTTCTGAATCCCTCCTTCCCTGCCCCCACCCCGCTGGACGAGTGGCCCCAGGCCCTGCTCTTCCTCGGTCCCTGAGAGTGGTGGGCAGCGACTCCTCCCTGGGGCTGCAAGCTCCCCAGCTGTCCTCAACCAGAGTGATGTGAGCCCGGTGGCATCCGTGCTTGGAGCATCTGGTCTACCCCCAGGTCTCCACCGCAGCCCCCTTCCCTTCCTGTCTGCCTCTTCCTGGTATTGGGGGGGYGGGTCTGCTCATTCCTCGCCTCTTGCACTGGGCTGGGAAGCTTCCAGCTTTCTTTCTGTTTCAGGTCCCCTTTGCAATCCCTGCACCCCCAACGCCCCCCCAAGCAACTGCAGCCTTCACTGGGCCTCATCCTTGGTCTCCCCCCTCTGCCTCCCTGTCCTGTCTGTGTCTATCTCAGGGTCGCTCTGCCCCTTTCTGCCTCTCCCTCCGTCTCTCTGT